TCTTTCATTGGTGAGCATAAAGCAACAAGAAGGCTTCTGCTTGAGTGGAGATGTCCACTAGGCAGAGGGGCAGACAGATAACTGACTTTTTCTGACCTTCCTGAAAAATATGTAAACTGAATAGGTAAGTTATTGCTGAGGGATGAGGACAAAGCTAAAGATTCAAAGTCGTCCACTGAATTAGTGTTTGAAACTGAACCTCAGGAATTTAACAGCTTCTTTTAAACACTTGTAATTCATGGACACATTCTCACTGTTTGTGGGTTTTTTAAAAAATACATTATTGTTGATTTCAAAGAGGAAGGGAGAGGGAGAGAGAGAATGATGAGGTCAATGATGAGAATCAATGATGACATCAATGATGAGAATCATTGATCTGCTGCTTACTTCACGCCCCCTACTGGGGATGGAGCCACAACCCAGCATGTGCCTTTACCAGAATTGAACCTGGGACCCCTGAGTCCACAAGCTGATGCTCTATCCACTGAGCAAAACCAACTGGAGCTCACATTATATCTTTATTAATTGTGCAAACAGGAAAGCTGACAGTTGTGGAAATTAGAAAGCTTATGTTTCCTGCATTTGAGTATCAAGTTTGCCATGATTGTTTTACTTATTTTGTTCATTCATTTCTTACTTATTCAATGATATTAACTGTTTCTTCGCAGAAACTTGCAAGGAAACGCTATTTCTTACATTGGTAAAGATACATGGAAGTCATACCATTTGGTTGAGAAACTGTGAGTATATTCTCTCCATAAGTAAGTTTAAAAAAACTAACTCCATTGTAAGAACTTCTTGGTCCAGAATTTTGAGGACAGTAGCTCTGAGAAAAGGTATTTCCTACTCTGTATCCCAAATCAAGTCTATTGATTGCAATTCTGTTCATTTTAAAAAATTAAATTTGGTAGGCCCTCTTTATAATCACAGTCAATTGAAACTTATTTTCTATTATAATAAGCAACACATGATTATTTTTTTAATATATAAAAATTAGATAGCAGATATAGTGAAAACCCTGCTTGTGTCCTCATCCCCACCCGAAGGTAACTGCTACTCTATGTTTACTATATTTCCTTACATATCCTTTGCAATGCATTTGCCTACATACATATTTACAGATAGCAAAATAGGTATGTTATGTGATTTTCATCTTTCTTTACATAATTGATAACATCCTACGTCTTGATTCTTTCTCCTCATAATATATCTTACACATGTTTCCTTCTTGTTAGAGAGAGGGTTACCCGATTCATTTAAAATATTTCATAATATTCCATAGTTTAATAATCCCCCTATTGATGGATATTTAGCTTATGTCCAGTTTTCTTGTTACATGTATTTGATGCAACATACATTCTTGTACATGCATCTTTGGGATCATGGGCAGGTATTTATGTAGAATAGATATTTAGAAATGGAATTGTCGTCATGAAACTATATTGTACAGCATTTAATTTCCCTTAAAGAAATTATGCCAACTTATACTCCACTAAGTAGGCAACTACAGTATTTATTGTCTTCTATCCTTCCACCATTAGATAGTCTCCATTTTTTGGCTGATCTAATGGGTGAATAAAGGCGGTCCCACCTAAGTTTGAATTTTTCTGATTACTTGTGAATTCAGATACTTTTATTTATTTATTGAACATCTGTTTCTTAAAAATAATTTTTTATTGATCCCAGAAAGGAAGAGGGAGAGAGAAAGAGATAGAAACATCCATGATAGGAGAGAATCCATTGATCGGCTGCCTTCTGCACACTCCACACCAGGGATTGAGCCCGCAATCTGGGTATATACCTCTACTTGGGAATCAACCGTGACCTCTTGCTTCATAGGTTGACATTCAAACATTGTGCCATGCTGGCCAGGCAGGTTTGAAGATTTCTAAGTCAGCTTGAGATTTATACCTTGGAAAGAAGAGGTTCTTAACTTAGAGTCAGTGGACCCCCCACTGCACCATTTCTTACCATTTTTCCTCCCAAATATCTCTTGGTTATCTGCAGAAGCCTATATTCTTGAGGACTATATTTTTAAAAGATGTATAAGTTAAAATATATATGAAAATAAAGGAAAGCTATTATTAAAATGCATATTTAAAAACATTTTTTATTTTCCTATGATTATTCATTTTTTAATCCTCCCCTGAGGATATTTCCCCTTTGATTTCTGGAGAGAGTGTAAGAGAGAGGTAAAGACAGAGAGAAATATCAGTGTGAGAGAGACACATTGATTGGTTGCTTCCTGCACGAGCCCCTAACAGGGCTTGGGCTGGGGAAGAGCCTGCAACCCAAGGTATGTTCCCTTGACCAGAATTGAACCCGGGATCTTTGGTCAATAGGCAGACATTCTATCCACTGAGCCAAACCAGCTAGGACTAAAATATTTTTAAAAAATAGATTATTGAAAGGCCAGCCACCATGGCTCAGTGGTTGAGTGTCAGCCTATGAACATCGAAGTCACGGTGGGATTCCCATTGAGGACACATGCCCAGTTGCAGGCTCAACCCCCAGTGGGCTGTGCAGGAGGAAGCTGATCAATCATTCTCTCTCATCATTGATGTTTCT